GACACCAAGGCACATTGCTATTAAGTTATCCAAGATTAAAGATAAGGAGAAAATTGTTTTGCACTTAGTATCTTAGCCAAGCACTGGAATATGTTTATTTTCCTTTTTCCTCTGTAATGTGTAGATGTTGTTCCAATTTTCAATTTTTACGACTAAGTTCATGCCAGTTTGTCTTTTTCTTTATAAATAAAATTGTTCTTTCTGTCTCGAAGCTTTTCTTTATTCTTACAATTCAGACAGTTCATCTACACATGACTGTCTTAGTTTGTGTCTCGTTTTATTTTTCTTTTTAACATGGTAAGCCATTTCAGTCTGAAAATTCAGTTCTTTCATTTGGTTACAAAAATTTATTTTCCATTATCTCTTTAATTTTTACATTATCATAATTCTGTTTCCATTTCCAGTTACATTTTTATATTCCAAAGAAGAGACTATTAGTCACACCTTTTTTTCTCTTGTCTTTCCTCTACACTGATTGCTTTCAGTTTTGTTTACTATTCTTTTTTCTTTTTAATCTCCCCGATTCCTATTTCGGTTTTCAGCACTGTCAATTTTATGTTTTGTCAATCTTTTTACATTTTATATATCATATTTTTATTCTTCAAATCCTTATGTTTTCAAATTTTTTTTTGCTTTGTACAACAAGTATATATTGCCTCAGACAATGAGTAATTTTTTAAATTATTTTATTGTTGTCCAGTTAGTAATCTACATTCACTCCCCACCACTGCCCCCAAAACCAAACCCACCTCCCTCCCTTGCTTCCATCCCTCCTTGGTTTTGTCCATGTGTCCTTTATAGTTCTTCCTGAAAACCCTCCCCAAAATTACCCCTCTCACCTCCCCTGTGGTTACTGTCAGATTGTTCTTAATTTGAATGTCACTGATTATATTTTGCTTGCTTTTTTCTTTTGTTGATTATGGTTCTGTTAAAGGTGAGATCATATGGTATTTGTACCTCACCTCCTGGCTTATTTCACTTAGCATAATGTTCTTCAGAGCCATCCATGCTATCACAAAGAGTAGGAGCTCCTTCTTTCTCTCTCTGTATAGTATTCCATTGTGTAAATGTGGCATAGTGTTTGACCCACTCATTTACTGACAGGCACTTGGGTTGCTTCCAGCACTTGGCTATTATAAATTGTGCTGCTATGAACATTGGGGTGCATAGATTCTTTTGGATTACTGTTTCAAGGTTCTTAGGATATAGTCCTAGCAGTGGAATTGTCATGTCAAAAGGTAGATTCATTTTTAACTTTCTGAAAAATTCCATACTCTTTTCCACAGTGGCTGCACCAGTCTTCATTCTTACCATCAGTGCACTAGGGTTCCATTTTCTCAACGTCCTATCCAACACTTGTTTGTTGAATTGTTTATAATGGTCGCCTTTACCCATGTGAAGTGGTATCTCATTGTGGTTTTAATTTGCATCTTTCTGTTGGCTAGTGATGCTGAGGATCTTTTCATATGCCTCTGGGCCCTGTGTACACCCTCCTTGAAGTATCTGTTCAAGTCTTTTGCCCATTTCTTTACTTGGGCGGTTGTCTTCCTGCAGTGGAGTCCTGTAAGTTCTTTATATATTTCGGAGACCAAACCCTTGTCACAGGTACCATTGGCAAATATGTTTTCCCATAACGTTAGCTCTCTTTTAATTTCAATGTTGTTTTCTTTAGCTATTCAGAAGGTTTTTAATTCGATGAGGTCCCATTTGTTTATTCTTTCCTTTATGTCCCTTGCTTTAGGGGACATATCAGTTAAGATGCTGCGGCATGAAATATCTGAGATTTTCCTACCTATGTTCTCCTGTAGGACTTTAAAGGTGTCACAACTAATATTTAAATCTTTTATCTACCTTGAAATTATATCTGGAGGACTTCTGGACAATATGGAGGTGTAGGTAGACACACCATGCTTCCTTACACAACCAAAATTAATGACAACAAAAATTTAGAAACAAAAAACAACCAGAACTGACAGAAAATTGAAGTGTATGTACAGCAGTCCGACAACCATTCATCCAGCCTAGTAGAAGGGGCAAGAGTCGGTGGCCTGCAGAGAGGGGTCATGGCAGAAAAAAGCAGTGACTGGTGACCTGAGTGCACAGGCAGTGGTTGGCTCACCCCAGGCAGGCAGAAGGCGGCCGGCAGACCCCAGGCACAGGGTGGCAACAAGCAAACCCAGTGAGGCACACAAGGCAGCTGGCTGACCGAGGTCACACATTCGTGCACAGATAAACCAGGCGAAAATGGGCAGCAAGACAGACCACAAAACCCAGGGCCCCAGCTCTAGGAAATAAGGCCTAAAAGCACCAATTGAAAACACTTGTGGGAATTGAGGTGCCAGGAGAGACTCCCAGCCTCACAGGAGAGTTTTTTGGAGAGATCCACGAGGTCCTACTACTTACACAAGCCCACCCACCTGGGAACCAGAACCAGAAGGGCCCAATTTGCTTGTGGGAAGCAGGAGAGGGGACCAAAATCGAAGAGAGAGTGGAACAAGCGCCACTGCTCCCTCTCTGACCCTACTCCCACATACGGCATCACAACCCAGCAACTGGGTTGCCCCGCCCTGGTGAGCACCTAAGGCTCCGCCCCTCACTACACAACACCTGCGACCAGACCAAAAAAAAAAGGCTTAGATGCAAGAACAGATAAAAGCCCCAGAGCCAATACATCTAAGTGACCAAGAGATAGCCAACCTATCAGATGCATAGTTAAAAGCACTGGTGATCAGGATGCTCACAGAACTGGTTGATTTTGGTTGCAAATTAGATGAAAAAAATGAAGGCTACACTAAGTGAAATGAAGAAAAATGAACAGGGAACCAACAGTGATGGGAAAAAAACTGGGACTCAAATCAATGGAGTGGACCAGAAGAAAGAACAAACAACCAAACAGAAAAGAATGAAGAAACAAGAATTCAAAAAGAAAAAAAAAAGCGGAGTGGCTTAGGAACCTCCAGGACATCTCTAAATGTTCCAACATCCAAATTATACAGGTTCCAGAAGGAGAAGAGGAAGACCAAGAAATTGGATACTTATTTGAAAACATAATGAAGGAGAACTTCCCTAATCTGCAAAGGAAATAGACTTCAAGGAAGTCCAGGAAGCTCAGAGAGTCCCAAAGAAGTTGGACCCAAGGAGGAATACACCAAAGCACATCATATTTACATTAGCCAAGATTAAAATGAGGGAGAGAATTCTAGAAGCAGCAAGAGATAAGGGGACAGTCACCTACAAAGGAGTGCCTATCAGATTGTCAGCTGATTTCTCCAAAGAAACCTTACATGAAAGAAGGGGCTGGAATGAAGTATTCTAAGTCATGAAAGGCAAGGACCTACATCCAAGATTGCTCTATCCAGCAAAGCTTTCATTTAGAATGGAAGGGCAGACAAAGTGCTTCCCAGCTAAGGTTAAGTTCAAGGAGTTCATCATGACCAAGCCCTTATTATATGAAATGTTAAAGGGACTTATCTAAAAAAAGGAAAATAAAAAATATGAATAGTAAAAAGACAGCAAACTCAGTTATTAACAACTCAACCTAAAAACAAAAACAAACTAAGCAAACAACTAGAACAGGAAGAGAATCAGAGAAATTGAGATCCATGGAGAGTTATCAGTAGGGGAGTGAAGGGAGAGAGAGGGGGAAAAAGTACAGAGAATAAGTAGCATAAATGGTAGGTATAAAATAGACAGCAGGTGGTGAAGAATAGTATAGGAAATGGAGAAGCCAAAGAACTTATATATACAACCCACAGTATGAACTAAAGTGGGGGGATGCAGTGGGAGGGGGTGTGCAGGGTGGAGGGGAATAAAGGAGGGGAAATTGGACAACTGTATTAGCACAATCTATAAAATATATTAAAAAAAAGAAATGAACAACTGACACATACTGCAACATGGGTAAACCCTGAAAACATTATGATGAAAGAAACCAGTTACAAAAGACCACATATTACGATTCCAACCCTATGAACTGTCCAGAACAGGCAAATCTACAGAGACAGAAAGTAGCTAAATGCTGGCTTAGGAATGGGGATGGAATAGGGAGTCCCTACCAAAGGGCATGGGAGTTTATTTTGGGAGGAATAAAAATGTCCTAAAATAAGACTGTGGTAATGGTTGTACAACTCTGTGAAAATACTAAAAAGGTTGTTTGTACATGAACTGTATCTTAATAAAGCTACTTTTAAAAAAGCAAAAAATATTCACACAGGCAACTGCTTCATCCCCTCCTTACAGTATAATAGGCAATATTCCATGTCAATAAGATATGCAACTATACTGTTATTTGTGACTGTACAATGTTCCAGTATACAGATATACTGCCATTTACTTATTGAATGCTTTATTATTAGATAGGAAAATATTTTCAATTACTGCATTAAACACCCATGTATATATACACTTTTGCACACCTGTCTAATTATTTCTTTAAGGAACAAAAAATAGAACTGCGGGGAGAAGGTCTGCATTCAAGTATAATGCCTGATGGTCCCCGAGGAAAGGCCATACTAATTAATATTCATCACAATGGAAAACAATGTTATCTTCTCTACATTCCCACCGATGTGGAGCATATTGAACTAATTAAATTCTGATAATAACAGGTGAAATAATTCTATAAATGTGTATTTCTTAGATCATTGAATTTAAACAGCATTTGTAGTCATTTGATATATGAAATACTTATACTTCTGTCCTTTGTTTTTCATCATCCTTATTAATTTCCCTGACACATGCTACACATTGCTCTCACCAATTTTTCTTTTAACTTTGCTTTATGGCACCTTTCTCCCTACATATTCTAATATTTTATATACTTAAATCTATTCTTCTTTATCTTTATGGTATCTGGCTTAACCACCTAGCCTTTTAGTATCCCAATATCCTAAAAACAACATCCTATATGTTCTTCTAGCATTTTATGTTATGTTTGAACAATCCATTCATTCCCTACTAATCTGCCATCCTTTAATTCTGGCCTGTAAGAGATGACTTACCCAGTTGTTGAGCCCATTTTATGGCAGTACCAGTGTCTCCTGCATTTCCTTCAGCTAAGCATACAACCTCTTGACCAATCTTCCACCCAATTAATGGATAAAAACCTTAAAAACAATGTAATTAACATAGTAAATAATTCACTGCAGAGTCATCTACAATGGAATAATTTAATTAGCCAAAGCAAAGTGGCTGTGAAGTCAGAATGCCTAGGGTGAAATTCCAGTCTTCTCTCCTTTACCAGTTATGGTCTTAAAAGTTTCTAACCTCTTGGCCTCAGTTTCCTTGACTAAAATGGTCTACCTCAGAGAGCTGCCTCAGAGAATAAACTGAATGAACACATTAAAAGAATTTAGCACAATGCCTGGCATATAATATGAATAAATATTATATCAATGTTTCTGGAAAAACAAAAAGAATATTTTAACTGAGAAATAAAAGGTTATTATGAGATTGGTTTGCTTGAGAACTGTCTCATCTATTGCATTTATCTGTGGTTTCTGTACAGGCTGCTAAACAGGAACAATCTCATATAATGGTCAACATTTTTTTATCTTCCATTTTCCCTCTTAGGGAAAAAGGAAGAGCTTCACTGGGGATGGAAGGTAGGTAAAAGATTTTCAAATCCACCTCTTCGTAACCATGTTAAAGGACTAGAGGCCAGACTAAGAACCCACAGCCACCCTGGGTAGTTAACCAGATTTCTTGGTTTATATGTCCCAGGATTTCTCCCATCAGAGAGAACAAATTCTTAATAACTCTGTAATATGCAGGGACCACTATTTGAGAACTATCACCTCCAAAAAATCATAAAAAGAAAAGTAATTTCTTACATATTTTAGAGGATTTAGTTATTTTAGAGGCTTAGAAAGATGTTTAAATACATATAACATTATAGGTAAATTTTTGGAAAGCTAACCAAAATACCCTAATCCTTCTGAATTTTTTCTATAACATCTCTCTCATTTTTATGCTTTTAATTTAGAGATAAAAGGGAAATGGGGACTGTCTCTAAGTATAATAATGAAAAGTATGTTAAAGAATGTCCTTAATATAAAATGGGAAAATAGTATTATAAAAGATAAATATGCAAAAATGGTATTTTATTAGTAAAAAGGATATATTCTAATTACTTACCTCCAATGTTCTGTTGAGGGCTATTTCCAGTATTAATATCCAAAAATGTCCCAGTTCCCATGGTCAACTTCACATCACCTGTCTGGAAACAGCACTCCCCAAACATGGCTGATTGCTGGTCGGCAACCTGCCAAAAATGTTCAAATGTAAGACCTTTGGGGCCTTAGCAGAGGACCACTTCACTGTATCCCACTGTCTCATTTAATGTGTTCTCATGGTTCAGCACTGTCTTCTCTTTTTTCCTTTTCCTTAAAAAAAATCTGGAGAAAACAGGGAGCAATAACTATAGGATAAGAGTCTCTCTGAGACTAACATTGTATGGATAACGAATGTGCCTCAAGAATTTTTAGTGGGCAACCTACTTCATGAGTTTTAAATATTATAAGGTTAAGGGATAATCTTAGAAATAAAGCCAGAATAAAGATTATGCAGGAAAAAAAGCCCAAGATTTTTGTTTATATCTCATAAGTGGTTTCATTCATTAGTCAAAATAATTGACCTCACAAATTTCTCTTTTAGGAAGAGTTATAAGGGTATGCTTAACTATATATCTCTATAAACCATACATTCTGTTAATATAGTTTAATGTAGATACATATACAGCAATATTTTAAGAACCCAAACTCATCTGAAGAACACTTTCTTACCAATATATGATTCTTCTAGCCATACCCTAATCTAAATTTGAGCCTACCCCAAGATTAAGTAAGACTGATCCTCTCTAGCCCTGACTGGTGTGGCTCAATGCGTTGAGCATCATCCTACAAACCACAAGGTCACCAGTTCAATTACCAGGCACATGCCTAGGTTGTGGGCCAAGTCCTCCACTGGGGTTAGGGGCATGTGAGAGGCAACTGATTGATGTTTCTCTCACACATTGATGTTCCTCTCCCTCTTCTTCTCCCTTCCTTCCACTCTCTCAGATAAATAAATAAATAAATAAATAAATAAATAAATAAATAAATAAACAAATCTTTGTGGGGGGAGAAGAAAAAGACAGATTCTCTCTAAATAACCAGGAATTTGTAACTTGACAATTAAATTCCCTACACTCAATATTTTTCTCCACCTACTGTGGCAAATGTCCATCTACCGACAGATGGACTGTACTTCCTGCTTAAGCTGTTACGGGCAATCAAAGGCAAGATCTACCCAGCCTCTCAAATCAGGTGGTAAATCTTTTGGGCTCTCGAAGTTCTGACTCACTCATCCAGAGAATAACGGTATAATCGAGAAAGAAACTTCAAACACCAAAAACAGCTAATTGTTCATTCTCCTACAAGTTTCTCTACTGGTAGATGCTGGCTAAGGATTTATGAAATGTAAATACAACTAACTTCTTTATTTTAATTGCCCTATCATTATTTATGGTTATATTGTATTTAATATAAACTAAACATTGACCCTATTCGTATTTTTTTTTAATCTCAGAGTATCGAACATAAACAAACATTACTCAGAATACAACATTTTAAAAACATTTAATGGTTTCCCAAAACACAGTATGTAGAGAAGTCAGTAAAGGTTATAAAGTTCTTCTATGACGGAAGATTCACCCAACTGTCCCCTTCCCAGAATACAGAAAACACGTGATTATATACAAGGTATTTTTAACTTAAAAAGAAAAAAGATACTTTAATTTTATTCTGCAAGAACCTTCTTTTGGTCTCATATCTAATCCCAACTATTCATGTACATTCATTTCCTTTGTATTGTACAATACAAATTTTCTACTTACCAAGGCCATTATTGGTATGGGCACACCAAATATCTCTTCATCCACTGATCCAAAATTGAAGCTTCAAATAAAATTGATTTAAAAGTAAGTTACAGCACTAGAAATATTAATTTTTAAATTCAGCAAACTGTTTTTAGCATAAGCCAAAAAGTTATATAATGTATGTTCATAAAGGTACCCCCCAAATGTAAATCAAATACTTTTTAGTTTTAAACCAAATGCTTTTTCCTCACCAAAACTAAATGAATTCAGGGACGATTTTGTTGATTTCTATGTCTAATGTTCATTATTACCTTGTATCCCTCACAGGAGGCAGGAGAGAAAGCGGTATTGAGAGCAAAGAAGTAATTGGGCCACTCCAACACATCTGAACATAAAAACATGTGATCAGAATCCAGGTTAAATTACACAAAAATTGATGATTCAAAAAGGAGGAAAAAAGCCTTTACCTCATATGGGTCAAAAAGTCCAGTGGTACTTGCATTTGAAAAGTCTGTAGCAAATTCAGAACCTAAATTTACATTGGAAATAATCATTTACAGATAGTGTAAACACCTATCCCTAGTTTATAGTTTAGGCCAATTTTTGCCTGAAAATTTGCCAAAATGTATATTTCCAGTGCAAAGTATCCAAGTTAATCTTTATAAACTTTTATAACTTACAAAAGCACTCTCAAAAACATTGTCACATTATGAGCCTTAAGTTTAAAAACCAGGAGAGGGGTTCATAGATGCAATGTGATTGCCTACGGTTATACCAAATTGCAAAGTGGGAGATTTGGTACTGAACTCGAATTTTACTCTTGAAATTAAGACTGTTCCTAACCCTGGCTGGTGTAGCTCAGTGGATTGAGTGCGGGCCTCAGAACCAGACAATCCAGGTTCAATTCCCAGCCAGAGCACATGCCTGGGTTGCAGGCCGGTTCCCTGCAGGCCACTTCCCAGCAGGGGGCGCACAAAAGGCAACCATACATGATGTTTCTCTTCCTCTCTCCTTCCCTTCCAATCTAAAGATAAATAAATAAATCTTAAAAAAAAAAAAAAAGAGACTGTTCCTCAGTTTTACATTTGAGGTTTCATCACAATTTTAAAATCACCCTCCTCTTCCAACTAATCTGAAATTAATTTAGCTTTGTTACAAATGGTAGTTTCTAGGGTACCAAAGGGCAACATGTCTGGGATATAGGAAGAAAAAAACGTAACATCTGCTATTTTGGGGTAAATCATTTCTATCAAATTTCAGTTATTTGAAATAGATTTATCAGATCATCTTTACCTTTTGTGAGTTTATGTAACAACCAGGTATCAACAGTCCCAAAGCAGCAATTTTCTTCTTCAATTGCTTTTTGCACCTTGGAAACACAATAGCACAAAATCGATTCAAAAAGGCTAAATTATTAAGTGCATGATTAAGTGCCAATCAGTAAATATAATATAATCCCATTTATGATCAATATTAATATATACATACAGGAAAAATCTAACAGTTCTAAGTAATTACTACAGGATATCAAATGCTTTAGTTTTAAACCAAGCATATGTTACTTTTGTGATGAAAGATAAAGTATATATATATTTTAGTTTAGACACACAAATACCTCTATGTATAAATAGTCTAAAACAGGAGAGGGCACACTATGGCCCTCAGGTCAAATCCAGCCCATTGCCTATTTCTGTTCAGCAAGGTAAGAATGGTGTTTAAATTTTTTATTGGTTAAAAAGAAAAAGAACAAGAATACTTTGTGAAATATGAAAAGTATGTGAAATTCAAATTTCGGTGTCCATATTAAAGTTTTAGTGGACACAGCCTTGCCCATCGTTTATGAATTATCTATGGCTACTTTTGCACTATAATGACAGAAACTTTATGGCTTTTAAAACCTAAAATAGTCATCTCTGGCATTTTTATAAAATATATTTGCCAATTCTTAGGGTAAAGCATGCCAAAGGAAATAGATATATCAAAACGTCTTTAAACTAGCTAATAAAAATGTTTGTTAGGATATTATAACATACTGGAAAATAATTTCCTAAATCATAATTTATCACCTATCCAACTCTTACTTGTCCTTCAAGACTAACATTTCTTGGCTTTGTTCACCCAGCATCCTAGGACTGGCCTCCATACTGCCATTACTGCACAGCATCATTACTTCCCTACCAAACTACAAGCTCCTTAAGGGCATTCATATTTATAACCTCAATGCCAGGAGTGTTTCTGGCATATAGCATATGTTTAAAAATGCTTGCTAAATAAATAACTGAGATATCAAGAATAACAAGTGGAGACATTTAAGATAAATTATATTTTCACAGTGGAATCAATAAAATTGAAAATGCATGATATGAGTTCCAGAAAAAGAGGTCATTTGTAGATTAATTATAACAATTTTTTATTGTGCAAAACAGCTTTTTAACTTTTTAAAAAATTTATTTATTTAATTGTTGTTCAAGTACAGTTTTCTGTTCTTTACTCCCATCCCAGCCCACCCCCCCAGTGCTCCCCACCTCCCTCCCATTTCCACCCCCCTTAGTTTTTGTCCATGTGTCCTTTATACTTGTTCCTGCAAACCCTTCTCATTTTCCCCTGAAACTCCCTCCCCTATCCCCTCTGGTCACTGTCAGCCTGTTTTCTATTTGAGTGTCTTTGGTTATATTTTGCTTGCTTGTTTGTTTTGTTGTTTAGGTTCCTGTTAAAGGTGAGATTATATGGTATCTGTCTTTCACTGCCTGGCTTATTTCACTCAGCATAATGCTTTCCAGTTCCATCCATGCTGTTGCAAAGGGTAGGAGTTCCTACTTTGTTTCTGCTGCATAGAATTCCATTGTGTAAATGTACCATAGTTTTTGGATCCATTCATTTACTGATGGGCACCTAGGTCGCTTCCAACTCTTGGCTATTGTAACTTGTGCTGCTGTGAACATTGGGGTGCATAGGTTCTTTTGTACTGGTGTTTCAGGGTTCTTAGGATATAGTGCCAGCAGTGGAATTGTGGGTCAAAAGGCAGTTCCATTGTTAGTTTTTTGAGGAAATTCCATTCTATGGAACTGTCAAAAGGCAGTTCCATTGTTAGTTTTTTGAGGTTTTCCACAATGGATGCACCAGTCTGCATTCCCACCAACATGCACTAGGGTTCCCTTTTCTCAACATCTTCTCCAACATTTGTTGTTTGTTTTGTTTATGATGGCCGCTGTCACTGGTGTGAAGTGGTATTTTATTGTGGTTTTAATTTGCATCTCTCTGATGTCTAGTGATGCTGAGAATCTTTTCATATGTCTCTGGGCCCTCTGTATGTCCTCCTTGGAGAAGTCTCCGTTCAGGTCTTTTGCTCATTTTTTAATTGGGTTTTTTGTCCTCCTGGAGTGGAGTCATGTGAGTTCTTTATATATTTTGGAGATTCAAACCCTTGTCCAAGGTATCATCTACCAGTACATTTTCCCATATAGTTGGTTGTTTTTTGATTTTACTGCTGCTTTCTTTAGCCATGCAGAAGCTCTTTATTTTGATGAGATCCCATTTGTTTATTCTTTCTTTTATGAACTCTGCTCTAGGGGACATATTGATGAAAATATTGCTGTGTGGAATATCTGAGATTTTCTTGTCTATGTCCTCCTTCAGGACTTTTATGATGTCAAGATTTAAATTTAAGTCTTTTATCCACCTTGAACTTATTTTTTGGTGTGGTGTAATTGGTGATCAAGTTTCAATTTTCTTGCATGTAGCTGTCTACATCTCCCAACATTGTTTCTTAAAGAAGCTATCTTTACTCCATTTTATGCTTCTGCCCCATTTGTGAAATATTAATTGACCATTGAGACTTGGGTTTATTTCTGGACCCTGTATTCTGTTTCATTGGTCTATGTGTCTGTTTTTATGCCAGTACCTAGCTGTTTTGATTACAGTGGCCTTGTAATACAGTTTGATATGAAGTATTGGGATCCCTGCTACTTTGCTCTTCTTTCTCAAAATTGCTACAGCTATTTGGGGGTAGTTTATGGTTCCATATAAATTTTTGAAATGTTTGGTCTGTATCTGTGAAGTATGCCATTGGTGCTTTAATAGGGATTGTGTTGAATGTATAAATTGCTTTGGGTAGTATGAATGTTTTGATGATGTTAATTCTTCCAATCCATAAGCATGGAACATGCTTCCTTTTGTTTGTGTCTTTCTTAATTTCTCTCTTCAGTGTTATATAGGTTTTTGAGTACAGGCCTTTTACCTCCTTGGTTAGGTTTATTCCTAGGTATTTTATTTTTCTTGTTGCTATCTCAAATGGGATTTTTTTCCTGACTTGTTTCTGATATTTCATTGTTGGTTTACAAAAATCCTTTGAATTCTGAACACTGACTGTGTATCCCACTGTTTTGCCAAAATCCCTTTGTTAGGTTGAGTAGTTTTTTTAGTGGAGTCTATAGGATTTTCTCTGTACACTATCGCTGCATCTGCAGTGATAGTCATCTGCAAACAATGATAGTGTTGCTTCCTTCTTTCCAATTTGGATGCCTTTTATTTCTTTTTCTTGTCTGATTGCTGTGGCTAGAACTTCCAATATTATGTTGATTTTAATCATAAATGGGTGTTGTACATTATCAATGCTTTTTCAGGATCTATTGTCATGATCATGTGACTTTTGTCTTTGGTTTTGTTTATGTGATGTATTATGTTTATTGATTTGCAAATATTGTAACATCCTTGCACCCCTGGGATGAATCCCACTTGATCATAGTGTATGATCTCTTTAATGTATTGCTGTATGAAATTTGCCAATATTTTGTTGAGGATTTTAGTATCTATGATCCTCAGTGATACTAGCCTGAAGTTTTCTTTCTCTGTTGTGTCTTTATCTGGCTTTGGGATTAGGATGCTGCTGGATCATAAAAAGAGTTTGGGAGTCATCCATCTTCTTGAAATTTTTGGAATAGTCTGAGAATCATTGGGGCTAGCTCTTCCTTAAATGTTTTGTAAAATTCTCCTGTGAAACTGTCCAGTCCTGGGCTTTGTGAGCCTGGAGTTCTTTTATTACTGTTTCAATTTTGTCAGCTGTTATTGGTCTGTTCAGGGTTTTCTCTAGGTTTTCAAATTTCTTGGCATATAGTTCTTTGTAGTAATTTCTTACAACCCTTTGTGTCTCTGTGTTATTGATTGTAATTTCCTCTCTTTCATTTCTGATTGTGTTTATTTGGGTCCTCTCTCTTTTTTCTTGATTAGTCTGCTTAATGACTTGTCAATGTTGTATATCTTTTCAAAGAACCAGCTCCTGAATTTATTGAACCCTAGTATTGTTCTTTTAGTCTCCATGTCATTTAACTCTTCTCTGATCTTGGTTCCTTCCTTCTTCTTGCTCTAGGCTGTCTTCTTGTTCTTCCCGTTCCTGTAGATGTTGGGTTAGGTTGTTTCTTTGAGATGTTTCTATATTTTTTAGATAGGCTTGTCTCACTATACACTTCCCTCTCAGGACTGCCTTTGCTGTTTCCCATATGTTTTGGACTATTGTGATACATTTTCATTCATTTCCAGAAAGTTTTTTATTTCTTTCTTGATCTCATTATTGAGCCATTCATTGTTTAATAGCATGCTGTTCAATCTCCCTGAGTTTGAATGTTTTTGAGTTTTTTCCTTGTGGTTTGTTTCGTTTCAGTCCCTTGTGTTCAGAGTAAATGCTTGATAAGATTTCCATTTCCTTGAACTGTTTCAGGCTTGTTTTGTGTCTTACCATGTGGTCTATCTTTGAAAATGTTCCATGTGCATGAGAAAAGAACGTATGTTTTGCTTTTTTTGGATGAAAGGTTCTGTATATATATGTTAAGTCCATTTGATCTAGGACATTGTTCCATGCTGCAATATCTTGTTGATATTTTTTTTTGGGGGGGGAGATCTATCCACTTTTGACAGTAAGTGTTAAAATCCCCTACTATAATTGTGCTGTGGTCAATATCTTTCTTGAAGTGCTCCAAGATTTTCTTTATGTATTTGGGTGCTCCTATGCTGGGTGCAAATATATTTACAATGTTTCCATCTTTTTGATGGATTCTTCCCTGGAATATTATGATGTGCCCTTCTGGCTCTGTTTTTATGGCTTTTTTTTTTTTTGAAGTCTGTTTTGTCTAATATGAGTATTGCTACCCCAGCTTTTTTTTTTTTTTCCTGTCCGTTTGCCTGGAATATTTGTTTCCAGCCCTTCACTTTCAATCTGTGTAGGTCTTTGTTCTGAGGTAGGTCTCTTGCAGGCAGCACATGTGTGGGTCATGTTTTCTTATCCATTCAGGTATTCAGTGTCTTTGGATTGGAGCATTTAATCCATTTACATTTAAAGCTTTTTTTCTTCCTTTTCTTAAAGCAGTCCCTTTAGCATGTCTTGCGGTGCTGTTTTGGTGGAGGTGTATTCTTTTTACTTCTTTTGTCTGGGAAACTCATTATTTGGCCTTCCATCTTAATTGAGAGCCTTGCTGGGTAAAGTAGCTTTGGTTGCAGGCCTCTGGTTCTCATTACTTGGAATATTTCTTGCCATTCTCTTCTAGCTTGGAGAATTTCCATTGAGAAGTCAGCTGCAGGTCTTATCGGGGCTTCCTTGTATGTTGCTTCCTGTTTCTCTTTTGCCGCCTTTAAGATTCTCTCTTTGTCTAGAAATTTTGCCATTTTAATTATGATGTGTCTTGAAGTGTGCCTCTTTGTGTTCCTCTTGATTGGGAGATTGGGACCCTCTGTACTTCTTGGAAAGGTGCGTCTTTTTCCTTCAACAGGTTAGGGAATTCTTTAGTAATAGTTTGTTCAAACAGGTTCTCGATCCCTTGCTCTCTCTCTTCTCCTTTTGGAACTCCTCTGATGTAGATGTTGCTATGCTAGATGTTGTCCCAGGTGTAAGATCCCATACAATTTCTTCATTTTTAAAACACAATTTTTTGTTCCTTTACTTTGGTGTTTTCTGTTATCTTGTTCTCTAAATCACTGATTCAATACTCCGCCTCTTCTAACCTGCTTTTGATTCAGTGTATTCTTTATTTCTGATACTGTATTCTTCATTCTTCATTCTTCATGACTGGTTCTTCTTTATGTTTCCTATGTCCTTTTAAATGCTTACTATCACTTTGAGTTCTCACTGAAATCACTCATTCTTCCCCTAATTCTTTTGAACATCCTTATAAGCATTGTTTTGAATTCTGCATCTGGTATTCTGTTTGCTTTCATTTTATTTAATTCTCTTTTTGGAGACTCTCTCACTCTTTCAACTGGGGCATGTTTCTTTATCTCTTCATTTTCTCTGCCCTTTGTGTCTGTGTCTGTGTCACAGGTAGATCTGCTATGACTTCCAAACTTGTTATAGTGGTTTTATGTTGTAGGTGTCTTGTGGGCTCAGTGGTACAAACGATCTCCCAGATCACCTGAGCTGGGTGCTCCAGGAATGTCACTTTTATGGCTTATGTGAGCACTCCTGTTGTAGTTGAGTCTTGAATGCTATTGTTCTGTTTTCAAGAGGGGTTAACCTTCAGGCTGAGTATTAGAAATGGCCCTGACCCTATTTTATGAGGCACTGTGTTGGGGCTGTCCCCAAGGCACAGTTGTCAAGAGCAGTGTCTGGTGCCTGCTGTGATTTTCCTTTGGGAGTGCCACTCATATGTCTAGTTCGGTTATGCTCTGGTATGGTCTGAAGCATACTACTGATTGTATTGGTTCTGGGTCTCCTTTGGAGGGAATTCAGGTGCAGAATGATGTCAAATACTGCCTGTAACTGGTCTTGAGCTACATGTCTGGAGCTATCAAGCAATCCACTGCTAATGGCTGCCTCTACTGGGTCTCACTGCACTTGGGAGGAGCCAAACTATGTACAAAGATCATACCCACTATCTTCCAGAAGGCATGCTTGCTAGGGCAGGGTGGCTGAAGTTCAGAGGACAGGGCTAGTGAATCTTGAGCTTGGGGACAGCACAGTCAGGTATTTATTGGGGGGAAAGTGGCTGCTACTGCAGAGCCATACCACTCCATCTCTGCCCACTGGGGGAGGGGCTCTGGCAGCATGCAGGTGGGGATGAATGACCCTTCTCTGGAGCTACGTAGTCAATGTCTGTCTGAGTCTCTCCCAAGAACTTCTCAAGAAAAAGGGCACTGAAGGTCTCAATGGGTGCAACCAGCAGACCTTTCTGTAGGACTTGAGCTCAGCAGGGTGGTGCCACTAGGAGTTACAGGACTAAACTAGTTCTCTCTCTAGGGTAGTGCCATAAGAATATGGAGTATTCTCGGAATATCCCTGGAGTCCTCCATGCTGGGCAATTAGCATCTTAGGGTGGTATGAGAGAGGGACCCAGGGATCTTGATGGATGACTCTCCAAATCTCTCCTTGAAACCTTGCCATCCATATTTTCTGTTTATGACTCTTGTATGCCCTGACTCACCTAACCTGTACCATAGCCCCATGTGAGTGTCTAAGAACAAAATCCTGTGTGCTGGTCCTTCAAGAGAGTGCCTGGGTTTCTATCAAAATCCCATCTCCCCTAGATGAACAGATCCCCACTGATTTTCACCTTCAGATGCTATGAAGGCTCCTCTTCCTGGCTCTGGTGCCCTGGGCTGGGATTGAGACCCCTTGCTCCTCAGGGGAAATGAATGCAGATCAGATATCCCTCTGGATTTTCAACCACCACACGTGAGTGCAGGACCAGCCCTTTCTGTGTCTCTGCACTTCTTATCAGTCTCTATGTGGCTTCTTCTGTAGAGTCTTCAGTTGGCTATTCAGGTTGATGAACGTATAATTTAGCTGTAAATCTGGTTTAGTGCTGGAGGAGATGAGTATAGCTTCCACCTACTCTGCAGTCATCTTGGGATCCCATTTACTTTTAACCAATTTGTATTTCTTTCCAATTTGAATTTCTGAATCTAAAGAAGTGTGTCTTCTGTAGACAACATAGAGTTGGATCTTGTTTCTTATAATCCAGTGTAAAATCACAGAGATACCAGAACCACAAAAGACTGATAATATCAATTATGGTGGTAAAGAAAATAAAAAGTCTTGTCATTCACTGGTGAGGGGTATATAAATTGACAAAAACTTCAGAAAACTATTCAATATTATTCACTAAAAATGAAGATATGTACACATTCATGCCCTAAAAATTCCAGTCCTACATGTAGATTCAGTGGAAATACATTTACAACCCTGGCCAGTGTGACTCAGTTGGTTAGAGCACTAACCCATAACCAAAAGGTTGTGAGGTTTGATTCCTGGTCAGGGCACATACCTATGTTGAGGGTTCAATCCCCAGTCTGGGGGCATATGATCCCCAGTATGGGCATATATGGGAGGCAACCAATCCATGTTTCTGTCTCACATCAATGTTTCTATGCAATCTTTAAAAGCAATTAAAAAATGTCCTCAGGTGAGAATTTTTTTTAAAGTCAAAAAAAGAAATAATGTTTATAGGTACATCAAAAGATAGCAGCATTATTCATAATAGCCCCAAACTAGAAATAACTCAAATGTACACGGACAGAATGGATAAATAAAATAAACTATGATAAAGTCATATATTGAACACTAACAGTGTAAATATAAGAAAATAAATTTACATAAAAGATGCATATAGTTCACACATATATCATAATGTTAAGCAAAAGGAGTCAAATACAAAGGAATAAACACTGTATGGTCCTGTTTATACAAAGTTCAAAATTACTCGGGTAAGACTAAATATTGTATTGAGAAAGAAAAATATAAGTAAAAGTAGAAAGAATATGTAACACACAATATTACAGTGTTCTAGTTCTTCGGTCAAGTAATATCACACAGATGTTTGCTACAGTATATGACTGAATGCTACATTTGTTTAATTTTCTGTATGTTCTATGACTCACAATAAAAAGGTTTTAAAAAACACGAAGATTCCTTGTCTTCCATCCCAATATGTTGTAAATAATTAATTTTCCCTCAAATAATCAAATTACTATCCTTATTCCTTGAATCTTTCCCATAGGCTCCATAAGCACACATGGGCGTGCACACACACATGCACACACACGCGCGCGCGCACACACACACACACACACACACTTCTCTTACCTCAGCCATGTTCTGTAAAATCCAGGCCAATCTCAAACAAACATGCTGGGTCGTGAAAGTGAACAAACTGGCTGCTAAAAATCGTTTACTTCTAGTGAAAAAGTGAAGCATTCGGCAGGAACTGTGTATTAGCTATTTTAAAGAATTTTAGAAAAATACATTTAATAATGATGTTTCATGTTTCCATATTAATTTCATACCTATGCAAACAAACCCAATAATAATAAGCAAGTTATTTAACTACTTATACAGTGTTCTCAGGACTTAAGAAAATCAAGTAGGCTCAAGTACTTATAAAAGTCTTTTAAAAATAATTATTTTCTTCCTCTTTCCCTACTTTTAACTATGGAAGTAAAGAGAGTCAGCGGAGAAGGCTTTGTTGCTATTTTTTAATAATGTTTTATTATTTTAAAATATATTGCTATTATTTTTAATATTATATTTTTAATCAAGTTAGCATAACCCAGAAGGAATTTCCACTACACATTAAGTAACTAAAATTGGGATGCATAATTTTAATACTGTCTATACTTACCTAATAATCAAATTTTTAATTTAATTTTTTAATTAAATGTTATTGATAATGCTATTACAGTTGTCCCATTTTTTTCCTTTGTCTCCCACCATCCACTACCACCATTCCTCCAGCAATTCTCCCAGCTTAGTTCATGTCCATGGGTTTTACATATTAATTCTTCGGCTTCTCCATTTCCTATACTATTCTCAACCTCCCCCTATCTATTATGTACCCACCAATTATACTTCTTATTCCCTGTACCTTCTTCCCCCATTCTCTCTCCTTTCCCTCCCTGCTGATAAACCTCCATGTGATCTCCACTTCTATGACTCCATCCTGTTCTAGTTGTTTGCTTGGTTCATTTTTTTTCTTAAATTTCAGTTGTTGAAAGTTGTGAGTTTGTTGTCATTTTACTGTTCAATGTTTTTTATCTTTTTCATAGGTTAAGTCCATTTAACATTTCATACATTGAGGGCTTGGTGACGATGAACTCCTTTAGCTTTACCTTGTCTGGGAAGCACTTTATGCTTCCATATTAAATGAAAGCTTTCCTGGATAGAGTGATCCTGGATGTAGGCCCTTGTTTTTCATGACTTCAAATACTTCTTTCCAGCCCCTTCTTGCCTGCAAGTGTCTTTTGAGAAATGAGTTGTTAATCTTATGGACACTGCTTTGAAGATAATTCTCTCCTTTCTTCTTGCTGCTTTTAAGATTCTCTCTTCTCTTTCTTCTTGGGTAACTTAATGATGATGTGCTTTGGTGTGTTCCTCTTTGAGTCTAACTTCTTTGGGACTCACTGGGTTTCCTAGACTTCCTGAAAGTCTATTTCCTTCACCAGATTGGGAAAGTTCTCCTTCATTATTTGTTCAAATAAGTTTTCAATTTCTTGCTCTTCCTCTTCTGCTTCTGGCACCCCTATGATTCAGATGTTGGAGTGTTTAAAGTTGTCCCAGAGGTTCCTAAGCCTTTCCTCTTTTTTAATTTTTTTTTGAATTCTTGTTTTTTATTTCTGTTCCAGGTAAATGTTTATTTCTTCCTTTGTTCCAAATTGATTATTTGAATCCCAACTTCCTTCCCTTCACTGTTGGTTCCCCGTATACTTTTCTGTATTTCACTTTGTATAGCCTTCACTTTTTTCTTTATTTTGCAGCTGTACTCAATCACTTCTCTGAGCATCCTGATTGCTATTGTTTTGGACTCCGCATATTCAAAAATTCATGTAGGTTGGCTATCTCCGTGTCACTTAGTTCTTTTTCTGGAGTTTTGATCTGTTCTTTCACTTTGGCCATATTTCTTTGTCTTCTCAAATTGGCAGCCTCTGTGTTTCTGTGTATTACATGGAGCTGCTTTGACTCCTGGTGCTGGCACACCAGTTATGTTGTAAGGGGCAGAGCCTTAGGTATTTGCCAGGGCAGGGCAACCCACTTCCCAGGTTTGTGGTGCTATGTGTTAGGGAGGAATCCAAGAGGGAACAACACTGCTTGCTTGGCTCTTGCCCCATTTTCAGTCACTTCCCCCACTTCCTGCAAGCGACAGGCGCCCTTACATCTCCTGCCCTGGTGCTGATTCCCCAAGTAGCTGGGTTTGTATACACTTTAGGCCCTGTGGGCCCCTCAAGTGGACTCTCCTGAGAGACCGGCAGTTTATTCTACTGCCACAGCCCCCACTGGTTTTTACAGCCAAAGGTTATGAGTCTTTTTTTCCAGGCACTGGAATCCTGGGCTGCACAGTCTGGCCTGGGGCTGGGATTGCTTGCTCTCCAGTTGTCCCTCCCAGTTTTTATCTGCTGCATGCAAATGGGGGGCCACCAGTTCCACTAGCCACTACTGCCTCACTACACATCCTCTCCACCCCAGCTGCCCATCTCTGCCCCTCCTACCAATCTCAATGAATGTTTCTTCTTCAACTTCTTGGCTGTTGGACTTCCATACAGTCAATTTTCTGGCAGTACTGGTTGTTTTTTGTTTTTAGATTGGTTGCTGTCCTCCGGTCATTGCATGAGGAGGCAAATCAGCTGGTGGAATATATCTATCTATACCTCCATCTCGGCCAGAAGTCCTTAAACATACTTTTAATAAGAAAAATCTTTAATTTAAAGAAAGCTTTACACAGAACATAAGCCCCGAGTTTTAAAATTTGTAACACATACTAAAAAACCAAAACAAACAAAAAAAAACCTTACCCTGCTACCTACTACAAGGACTCAGATGGACAATCCATCTCTGAGACTGATGTTTTGTAAGTATTCACTTATGGAGAATTTACCCACTTCTTGCATTTTTCTGTTAATCCCCACCACTTTCCAAAAAAATAAGTGTAAAGGTTTTGGTCTAGTTATTAAAATAGTAATATGAATTAACTTTTTTCACTTTTAGCACAACATAATCAAAATGTGCCGGCTTTCCATCTTATCCATTTAAACAACAAGCCCCATTTTAATTTTTAACCCATTTTTTTGGTAAGAAAAAAGTTCTACTGTTTTTATAAATTTCAATAGTACAACACAGTGTTATCAACAGTGATCATGTTATCGTTAGATCCTCAGACCTTATTCGTCTTGTAACTGAAGAAACTTTGTACTCTTCTAACTTCATTTCACTTGATCAGTGCTCAAAACTTCTGTATTTCTTTATATTTTACATTATTTATTAAAATATAAGACTGTTTAAAAGTATTTAAAGTGGCCACTCATAATCCTTCTTCTGATTTGTTATGTCTTAAAGTGCCTCAAATGAAATAGAAGCACATTATACTTTTCTCTATAAAAAATTAGATTTAGGATCCATGAGGGATCTTCTGTTAAAATTTAGTTACCTGAGGAGGAGAGACTTACACAAAAAGTATTAGGAGTTGCAACACTAGTACTTTTAGTCAACATATGAACAATTAAAACCTTTGCTCATATATTTGACAAATGGCTCTTGAGTCCTTTCTATGTACCAAGGATGTGCTAGGCCTTGAGAAAACAGAGTGAATGATACAAGAAAAATCCTTACTTTCCTTATATTTACCTTTCAGTGGAAGGATACGGACAAATAAGTAATCAAATCAATAAATGAGATCACTTAAGAAGATACTGATTTTAAAGGAAATTATTATTTAAAGTACTACCAAAAGAGAAAAAAATCCTGCCAGCTGAATTATGACATAATATTGAGATACAACTAATAATTCAAAATGCATCCTGATATCAAAGATGTTAAAATAAGAAAAATGTATGTCTTATTACTCATACATTACTTGTGGGAAAATAAATGGTACATACAGCCACTCTGGAAACCAGTTTGGCAGTTTCTTATAGGTTATGCAATTACCTTATAACCTAGCAATTGAACTCTTGAGGTATTTGTCCAAGATCAATGAAATTTTATGTTCACACAAAATTCTGTACATGAATGTTTATAATAGCTTTATTTGTAATAGCAAAAAACTGGAGTAAGCCTACATGTCCTCCAACAGGCAGTATTATCTGTAACGCTGAATACAACTCGGCAATAAAAAACAACTTGGATTCTCCAGGGAATTATACTATGTGAAGAAGGCAAACACCAAAAGGTTTTATGCTGTATCTTTCTATGTATATAACATCTTTTAAATGAAAAAAATACGAATAGAGAAAAGGTTAATGGTTGCAAAAAGCTAAGGATTTGAGAGTGTGGGGAGGTGCACAGGAGAGAGGTAGATGTGTATATAAGAGCAACATGAGGGATCCCTGTAGTGATGGAACTGTTCAATGTCCTGACTGCATGGTGGATACATGAACACATGAAAAAATATACAGAAATTAATACACACATAGAAACAGAAATGAGTACAAATAAAACTGAGGAGATATGAATAAAAACTATGGATCTTGATTGTAACATTATACAGTAGTTTTATAAAATGTCACCATTGGGAGAAACTCCGAAGTGTACATGGGATTTCAGTATTATTTCTTTTTCTTCTTTAATATTTTATTTATTTATTTGTTTGTTTATTTATTTATTTATTTTTAGACAGAGGGGAAGGGAGGGAGAAAGAGAGGTAAAGAAATATTAATGTGTGGTTGTCTCTCACACACCCCCTACTAGGAACCTGGTCACCCAGGCATGTGCCCTGACTGGGAATTGAACTGGTGACCCTTTGGTTCACAGGTTGGCACTCAATCCATTGAGCCACACCAGCCAGGGCTCAGTATTATTTCTTACAATTGCATGTGAATCCACAATTACCTCATTTAAAATTTCAGTTTAAAAATGTGTGAGGTATTTTGGAGATCAAACCCTTGTCTGAGGTATCATTGGCAAATACATTTTCCATATAGTTGGTTCTCTTTTCATTTTAATGCTGTTTTCTTTACCTGTGCAGAAGCTTTTTATTTTTATGAGATCCCATTTGTTTATTCTTTCCTTTATATCCCTTGCTCTAGGGGACATATCAGTGAAAATACTGCTGTGTGGAATATCTCAGATTTTCCTGCCTATGTTCTCCTGAAGGACTTTTATGGTGTCATGACTTACATTTAAGTCTTTTATCCACCTTTAGTTTATTTTTGTAGTTGTCCAGCTACATGCACAATTTACAATAGCCAAGTGCTGGAAGCAACCTAAGTGCCCATCAGTAAATAAATGGATAAAAAACTATGGTACATTTATAAAATGGAATACTCCACAGCAGAAAGAAAGAAGGAGCTCCTACCCTTTGCAACAGCATGGATGGAAGTGGAGAGCATTATGCTGAGCGAAATAAGCCAGGCGGTGAGAGACAAATACCATATGATCTCACCTTTAACAGAAATCTAATCAACAAAACAAACAAGCAAGCAAAATATAACCAGAAACATTGAAATAAAGAACAAGGGGACAGTAACCAGAGGGGAGATTGGAGGGGGTAATGGGAGAAAAAGGGTGAGGGGTTTTCAGCAACAACTATAAAGAACACATAGACAAAACCAAGGGCGATGTGGAATCAGGGGAGGGAGTTGGGGATGGCTGGGGTATAGGGGAGAAGAGGAAGAAAAGGTAGAAAACTATACTTGGACAACAATAAAAATTTTTTAAAATGATAAATGCTGTGAAAGCAATAATGGACAGTAAGATAGAGACTGGATTGGAGTTGCGGACTACTTTAAACAAGATGGCAGGCAAAGGCTCCTGAGGAGTTGACATAAAGCTGAGCCCTGAGAAATGAGAACAATCAGCCATGATAACAGAAGAAGCCCCTTGTAAGTGTGAGGGCCTTAAGGTGACGAAGGGCTGGGTGCTATAAGAATAAAAGCAGGCTGGCAAAGCTGGAACCTAATCCTTAGCAGCTTCAGGAAGAAATGAGACTGGAAAGTAGTCAGAACTGTAGGCAGGGCCAAACCATGGTAAGGAGTAGGTATTTTTATGCTGAAAGCAAAAAGAAGCCTTAACAAGAATCAGAACAGCAGTGAAAGGAAGCATGGGCACTTGGGGAGACTGAAGGAAAACAATGGTGCCAGGAGTTTGACAACACAGCTCAATTCCTTCACAATTCAGCTTGGAGCTACTCTTGGCTAAACTAATGACCTTGGTACCAGCTCAGGCACATAGACCCTAAAAATTTCCAAGAGCCTCGATCAATAAACTGTATCACCTGGGAAAACATGACTGTGAGGTAGGGTTCCTTCACTGGCAGGATAGACCCTGTTTGTATGCATTTTTCTGCTAAAACTCACATCATGCACATGCTCAATATGAAGTACATGAAATGCTTTAAACACTCCCTCTTGTGCTTAAAGTCACAGTTTTGTGTTATGATTTGCAATCTGGGCTTATACTAGAGAAGTAAATGTTTTCATGGTCACAATCTATTTTTTAAATTTCTTTTTAGCTTTAAAAAGAACTATTATATCTGTCAGTTCAGAAGGGCTGTTTCTTTTTTTTAAAAAATAATGTTTATTATATTTTTTCTACTACCATTTAGTCCCCTTACATGCCCACCAGCAACCATGTCCCTGAGTCCTTTTTATTTTTTGCTCAATCCTTCCACCCCTAACCAACCCCCCACTAGCTGTCATCTGCTCTCCATCTATGAGTCTGTCTCTGTTTTGCTTGTTAGTTCAGTTTGTTCATTAGATTCCACACATGAGTGAGATCATACGGTATTTTTCTTTCTCTGACCGGCTTATTTCACTTAGCATGAAGTTCTCCAGATCCATCCATCCTGTTTCAAAGGGTTAAATTTCCTTCTTTTTCATGGCTGAGTAGAATTCCATTGTATAAATGTCCTGTAGTTATTTTATCCACTCATCTGATGGACAATTGGGATGATTCCGTATCTTGGTGATTGTAAACAATGCTGCAATGAACATAGGGGTGCTTATGTTCTTTCAAATTAGTGTTTTTGGTTCCTTTGGATATATTCCCAGAAGTGGGATTGCTGGGTCAAAAGGTAAATCCATTTTTAATTTTTTGAAGTATCTGCATACTGCTTTCCACAGTGGCTGCACCAGTCTGCATTCCCACCAACAGTGCAAAAGAGCTCCCTTTGCTCCACAGCACTTGGTTTTTTTAATTATTGATAAATAGCCATTCTGATAGGTATGAGATGGTATCGCATGCGGTTTCAATTTGCATTTCTCTGATGATTAATGATGTTGAGCATCTTTTCATGTCTATTGGCCATCTATGTGTCCAACAGACATACAGATGTCTGTTCAGGTCCTTTGGCCATTTCATTTTTTAACTGGGTTGTACTTTTGGCATTAAGTTTTGTAACTACTTAAAAATTTTTGGATATTAACCCCTTCTCAAATGTATCAGCGAACATATTCTCCCATTTTGTGGGTTGCCTTTTTATTTTGTGCATGATTTCCTTTGCTGTGCAAAGCCTTTTTACATTCAATGAAGTCTCTTTGGTTTATTTTTTTATTTTGTTTCCCTTGCCTGGGGAGATATATTCAATAAAAAATTTCTACAAACAATGTCTGAGATGTTACTGCCTATATTTTCTTCTATAAAATTTATGGTTTGGGGTCTAACATTTAAGTGTTTGATCCATTTTGAATTTATTCTTGTGTGTGGTATAAGAAGGTAGTCTAATTTCATTTTTCTGCATGTGTCTATCTAATTTTCCCAATACCACTTGTTGAATAAACTATCTTAGCCCATTGTATGTGGTTGCTCCCTCTGTTGAATATTAGTTGACTACAAAGGTATGGATTTATTTCTGGGGTCTCTACTGTGTTCCATTGATCTATGTGTCTGTTTTTATGCCAGTGCCAGGCTATTTTAATTACTATGGATATAGTAATCAAATTATCTTGCAGTATAGTTTGATATTAGGTAGTGTGATTCCTCTAACTTTGTTCTTTTTTTTTTTTCAGAATCACTGTTGCTATATGGGGCTTTTGTGGTTCTATATAAGTTTTTGAAATATTTGTTCTAGTTCTCCGAAATGCATCATTTGAATCTTGACAGGAATTGTGTTGAATCTATAGATTGCTTTGGGTAGGATGGACATTTATTTATGTTAATTCATTCTATCCATGAACATGGTATGTGCTTCCACTCACTTGTATGTTCTTCAATTTCTTTCTTCAGTGTCCAAGAACAGGTCTTTTACATCCTTGGGTAGGTTTATTCCTAGGTATTTTTATTCTTTTTGAAGCAGTTGTCAATGGCTTAAATTCCCTTTCTGTTAGTTTGTTATTGGCATATAAAAATGCAACTGATTTCTGAGTACTAATTTTGTATCCTGCTACTTTGCTGAATTCATTTATCAGTTTTAGTAGTTTCTTGATGGAATTTTTGGGTTTCTCTAGGTATGATATGTCACCTGCAAATACAGACAGTTTTACCTATTTCTTTCCAATTTGGATGCTTTTTATTCCTTCTTCTTGTCTGATTGCTATGGCTAGGACTTCCAGTACTATGTTGAATAAGAGAGGTGAAAGCAGACATCCCTATTTTATTCCTGATCTTAAAGGGAATGCTTGTAGTTTTTCCTCGTTGAGTACAATGCTGGCAGTGGATTTGTCACAGATAGTCTTTCTTATGTTCAGGTATGTCCCCTCTCTTCCCACTTTGCTGAGAGTTTTTATCAGAAATGGATGCTGGATTTTATCAAAAGCTTTTCCTGCATCTATTGATAAACTATTTGTTTTTATTTATTTTCAGAGAGGAGAAGGAAAGGAGAAATAGAGGAGAGGGAAACATCAATGTGTTGATGCCTCTCACATGTCCCCTACTGGGAACCTGGTCTGCAACCCAGGCATGTGCCCTGACTGGGAATCAAACCTTTGGTTGGCAGGCCACCCCTCAATCTACTGAACCACACCAGCCAGAGCCATAACTTATTTTTACAGGAAAAAAAGTTTTCAACATCTCACTGGCTAAGGAATTAGTTATGACTTAGGAATGTTTGTAAATTGACCTATTAAAAACTAAAATTATACATTAAGGTAAAAAATTACATATTATGAATAGTATAATTTAAAATTGTACTGATTGGGATTCATGTCTTGTCTTATATCACTTTCAACTCCCTTAATTACTGTCTTTCTTGTAAACAGCACCTCTCAGAGTTTAGCCTCACAAGTTATTAAAATAAGGTGCATTTTTATATATTAAACTAACAAAAAAAATCAATGTGCATGAGATTTTTGTGTTTCACTCATGCATTGCTGTCATATTCTATAATACATTCATGTTTGTTTTTATATAAAATTAATGTCTACAAATATTCAGCATGTAAAACTGGTGAAACTTGACTGCCCCCTGCACTGTCTGGTGTCCACACCCTAGCTGAGAAGATATTAGAAATATTAAAATAATAATATGTGATATTTATTATTATAACACCAAATATTGCAAGTTTCACTACAGCTGAGGAACTGGAAAATGTCTTCTTACCCAATGACTCAGTTTCCCACTCAAGAGCGAGATGATGTTGATACTGCTGCTATTCCTGTCTCTGTCACCATCACCACAATCATCACTTGTTTACTATGTGCCAGGTATTATATTAAGAGCATGTGACAGTCAGCTAGTTAACTACCTCAATATACATACTCCACTTCTTATAACAAAATGATTAAATTTGGACATTGCTGCATCTTTTCTGGACATTGTCTGTATTTTCCATCTCTCCAGAAATGAAAACATGAATTCTCACTAACATGTGAACATTCAGTCTACTCCAAACCTCCTCGAGACATTTTGAAGTATAGTATTAAGTACTTCAGTCTACTAGATACACTTTTGGGTAACTATTATTTAGTTTCACTGGTGTGGGAATGTACATGTGTATATTCTCTTATTAATGTCCAAAACAGCATAGGTAGGAGGTTATACAATTAAGTCTACAGCTAAGGAAATTTTATAGGAAAAAACAGTAATATCCAAGTTGCCAAGAAAAAAAAGATTACCTTCATTATAAGGGAACTATTCCAAGATTTTACGAGTTCAATAGCTCTTAGATCTTGCCAACTAATGAAGTTATGAAAATGATTTCCCGTTTTCCTAAGAAAAAATGGAAACAACATTTTGACCCTCATATAAATCAAACACTATATTATATAAAAGATATGCCACAAGAGGAAAGAAAATAAGAGGCCAAACTACTTTCAAAGTACAATTTAATTATTTTGGGCTTTCCAAATTATTTCTTCTCTTTGATTTATAAATTGAACATATTTTATAATAGATATTATGTGATATAGAATATGAAATTTTAATCAAGTAGATCAAAAAAGATATTTTTGAAGTACTACAATGTGTACATTTCAAAAAAAAGTAATGAAAAAACTCTTAACTTGCATATAAACTTTAAAAAACATGATGGGGAAGGCAATGCCTTTCCCCTTCATCGTACTTACCTTGACATACACAATCAGATAAAAACCTCTGTACAGACAAAAGAGCTGAAATATTGCCAAGCCAATTTCTACAGCCGTTAACTTCAGAATTGGCTTAGCCACAAGCAACCCACCAGGCTTACCAGAATTTGTCTAATAAAAAGAAATTTAACCAACTCCCTGTCAATACTATACAATAAAAGTACAGAACTAAGAACTACAGTAGAAAAAAATCATTTATCCTTTGAGACCCCTGCAAATCAACTACTAACAATTTATTCATCTTCAACATCCAACTCAGGTTTGCTTTCTACCCTGTCTCCTGTGTGAATTTAACCACATTCAATTCTGGAGACTGTCATTTTCCACTCTTATTAAGCAGTCTACAGCCATGGTGGTCACATCCTCAATTTTATTAACTGGAAACACTCTACTACTGAAATTCTAGCATTGCAACAGATTAGGAAGCACATCTTACTAGTAGAGTCTTGTCCACTTAACAACAGAAACACATACTGAGAAACATCATTATGTGATTTCATTGTTGTGCAAACATCACAGATTACGACTACACAAACCCAGATGGTCTAGCCTACTACATACTTAGGATCCAAACCTACACCACAAGGAACAAGCCTGTGCTGTAAGCATGTTACTGTACAAAACACCACAAGAGTAAATCAAACACAAGAGAAAGGGATGCAATCAAGAGACATGTTAAATAGGAGATGTATGAGGCTGCTGCAGGCTAACACCCCACACTGTTTAAAGCAAACTTCTTTTTACAAGTAGAAAGAGTGCACACTTAAACGGCCTTTAAAAAGCTTGCTTTGTGTATTATAGTAAATACATAAGCCAGAAAAACAGTCATTTACTATCACTATCAAGCATTATGTAGTGCACATAATTGTATGTGCTATATGTTTATCTGACTGGCAGTGCAGGCTTATTTACTCCAGCATCACCACAAACACATGACTGTTGCACTATGCTAAGATGTTATGATAATTACTACATCCTTAGGTGATAAAAATTTTCAGCTCCTTTATAATCTGTGAGACCACCATTGTACCTGCAGTAGGTTGTTGACCAAACATCGCTATGTGGTACGTCACTGTATTTCAGTTTTCTCCATTTTATGCCCTAAATATCTTCCCTTCAAGCACACTGCCACCTTTCATCCCTCAAACATTCCCTTTTGTTTCTACCAACCCCTGCTAGGCTTACTTTCCTGAATCCCATTAAGAACTTGCCTTTTTTTTTTTTTTTTTGGTAATTGTGGTAAAATATACATAACATGAAATGTACAATTTTAACCATTTTTTCAGTGCAAAATTTATTGACATTAAGTACATTTCACAATGTTGTGTAACCATCACCACTATTTCCAAACACTTTGGTTGTTTCAACCTTCTTGCTATTGTGAATAATGCCACTATAAATATTGCTATACAGGTAACTGTTTTCAATCCCCTTGGGTATATACTTAGAATTGCTGGGTTATACTCGTATGGTGATTCTATGTTTAATTTTTGAGGAACTGCCAAACTGTTTTCCACAGTGGCTACAACCATTTTACATTCCCATAACCAATATAGAAGAGTTCCATTTTTTCCACATCCTTGCCAACATTGGTTATTTTCTATTTTTTAAGTTATAGCCATCATAGTGAGTATACAGTGATATCTTGTTGTGGTTTTGATTTGCATTTGCCCAAAGACTAATGATATTAAGCAATTTTCACATGTTTATAAACTATTTGTATATTATTCAAGTCTTTTGTCCATTTAGTAAGTGTGATATTTGAGCATTTGTTGAGTCGTATGAGTTCTTTCATATATTCAGGGTATTAATTTTCAGTATCTTAATTGTTTCCTTTTTCTTTTCTTGTTCATCTGTATTAGTGGGAATCACATCATTCACCTACATCATGAACATGTTACTTCCTATTCCTTCAGCGATACAGTCACCATTCATTAGTTTAATTCAGAGAAATGAACCTATTGTTTTAGTCTTCGATCTTAGATAAAAATTACAAACCAAGCATAAAAAGAAACACACCTTACATGCTGCATTGATTTTCAGAAAGCTAACTGCCAATTTGAGATGTCAGTGACTGCAAACTTGTTCAACATTTTTTCCAGACACATTTTTAAAATGCAAATTGAATACTATGTGAAAATAATTCCAAAATGGCTTTCTCATTATTTATGATTACATAAATATAGGGCATATTTTTTCTTTTTTATGTATTGTTGTTCAAGTATAGTTGCCTCCATTTTCAACCCACCACAGCCCCTGCCTCACCCATCCCTGCCTCCCACCCTTGAACCTACCCACCTTGGGCTTTGTCCATGTGTCCTTTACACATGTTCCTTGATGACCCTTCCCCTATTCTCACCCCCATTATCCTCTCCCACCATCCTTTGGTTACTGTCAATTTGTTCTTTATTTCAATATCTCTGGCTATATATTGCTTGCTTATTTTTTTTGTTGATTATATTCCACTTATAGGTGAGATCATATGGTATTTGCCTTTTACTGCCTGGCTTATTTCACTTAGCATAATGCCCTCCAGCTCCATACATGCTGTTGCAAAAGGTAGGAGCTCCTTCTTTCTTTTTGCTGTGTAGTAGTATTCCATTGTGTAAATGTACCACAGTTTTTTGATCCACTCTTACTGGTGGACATTTGGGTTGCTTCCAACACTTGACGTTGTGAATTGTGCTGCTATGAACATTGGCATGCCCAGGTTCTTTTGGATTGGTATTTTGGGATTCTTAGAGTATAATCCCAACAGTGGAATTGCTGGGTCAAAAGGCAGTTCATTTTTAGTTTTCTGAGGAAATTCCACAGTGTTTTCCACAGTGGCTGCACCAATCTGCATTCCCACCAACAGTGCACTAGGGTTCCCTTTTCTTTACAACCTCGCCAGCATTTGTTGTTTGTTGATTTGTTTATGATGGCCATTCTGACAAGTGTGAAGTGGTAACCCATTGTGGTTTTAATTTGCATCTGTGATGGCTAGTGATGCTGAACATTCTTTCATATGTATCTGGGCCCTCTGTATGTCCTTTTTGGAGACTTTTCTGTTCAAGTCCTTTGCCCATTTTTTAATTGGGTTGTTTGTCTTCCTGGGTAGAGTCGTGTGAGTTCTTTATATATTTTGGAGATCAAACCCTTGTCCGAGGTGTCATTGGCAAATATATTTTCCTATATATTTGGTTCCCTTTTCATTTTACTGCTGTTTTCTTTAGCTGTGCAGAAGCTTTTTGTTTTAATGAGATTCCATTTGTTTATTTTTTCCTTTATGTCTCTTGCTGTAAAGGATATATTGGTGAAAATATTGCTGTGTGGAATACCTGAGATGTTCCTGCCTATGTTCTCCTAGAGGACTTTAATGGTATCATGAATTATATTTAGGTCTTTTATCCACCCTGATTTTATTTTTGTGTATGTGTAAGTTGGTGATTCAGCTTCATTTTTTTGCATGTGGCTGTCCAGCTCTCCCAACACCATTTGTTGAAGAGACTATTTTTACTCTATTCTATGCTTCTGCCCTCTTTGTCAAATGTTAATTGACTATAGAGACTTGGGTTTATTTCTGGGCTCTCTATTTTGTTCCAAGGGCAAATTTTTCATGTGAAGTTCTAATATAGAAAAAAATTTAAATAACCGTTATTAATAGATGACCATATCTTAATTGTACTCTTTGATGCAAAAAAAAGTTTTTAACTTTAAAAAACAAATAAATAAGTTTTTTAACTTTGATGAAGTGCAATTAATCTAGTTTTTCATTTGTAAGCTGCGTTTTTTATGCCATCTAAGAAATCATTGTTAAATCCATGGTCATGAAGACATTCCTCTATGCTTTCTTCTAGGAGTTTAATAGTGTTATCTTTAAATTTAGTCTTTGCCCCATTATCTGAAGTCATTTTTGTATATAATCCTACTTCATTTCTTTGTATATGGATATTCTGTTTTCTCAGCATCATTTGTTGAAAAGGCTGTTTTTTTCCCCAGTGCCTGGTCTCAGAAACCTTGTAAGAGATCGGTTGTATTAGTTTCTTCGGGCTGCCATAACAAACCTTCACAAACGGAATGGTTTAAAACAATAGCATTTTGTCTCAAACAGTTCTGCAGGCTAGAAGTGCACATCCAAGGTGTTGACAGAGCCATAGTCCCTCTGAAATCTATAAGGATTTCTTCCTTGCCTCTTCCTGGCTTCTGATGGTTTGCAGCAATCTTTAGCATTCCTTGGTATATACATGCATCATCCATTCTCCTTCTTCACATGACTTACTCTCTTTGTCCACACTCACATGGCTATCTTCATATGAGGACACTAGTCACACTAGATTAGGGTTCCATCCTACTGCATTATGACCTCATCTTAATTAATTACATCTGCAATGACCCTACTTCCAAAAGTCACATTTTGAGGTACTGTTGTTGCCAATAATGGGTTATTTCCCTCAAATTTCCCTTACACCTAAATTTGAGATTAAGTCAAAGGGTAAGACAATTTTCCAGCTCCTCAACTGTGGTGAAATCTGCAAATCTTGGCTATTGTAAATAACACAGCAATGAATATAGGCATATGTATATTCCTCTTAAATTACTGTTTCAGACTTCTTCAGATAAATTCCCAAAAGTGAAATTGCT